AACCCCTTATCGAACGGTTTATTATTACATCAAAATCTAAAAGTTAGATGCATACACAATTTGACTATTTAAAGTCGTTTTCGCTAGTGAAACTATGGTTATTGGATATATATTAAAAAACCAAAAAATTTAAATTTTACACAAGTTACATTCATGAGGTTTTTTTTCTGTATATGTCTAAAGTCTATTCTTTACGGTTTAGGATTGTTCTTTTTAATACTAAAGGAAAAAGTTTTTAATTTACTCGGGTGTTATTGCATTTGAGAGACAAAAAAAAAATTGATATTATAAATAATTAACAGAACACAAATTCGTCCTACCGATATTTTTTCAATGTAGGAGGACGATACTTTTAGTTGTTTTTATCGATCAGAAAGGAAAACAGGTCGTAGCACCAATGTTTTAGCTCTGATTTATCGATCATTACCAGCAACATAGCGATGACATTCCTTAACGATATTTCTAAAATATTGTATACCATTTCTAATGACATCTGGTGTTTGATAAATAACTTTTATTGAGTCTTATACAACGTCACATTTAAATGGCTTCTCTCTGTTATGAATCTTTCATTAATTATACTTTTATTATGTTTTCATATAAGCATTATTACATGAATTACGTTCATAAGGATTTTTTAGTATGCCCTTAAACCCTTTATCAAACGGGTTTATTTTTACTTCAAAATCTAAAAGTTAGATGCATACACAATTTGACTATTTAAAGTCGTTTTCGCTAGTGAAACTATGGTTATTGGATATATATTAAAAAACCAAAAAATTTAAATTTTACACAAGTTACATTCATGAGGTTTTTTTTCTGTATATGTCTAAAGTCTATTCTTTACGGTTTAGACTTGTACTTTTTAATACAAAAGTAAAAAGTTTTCAATTTCCTCGGGTGTTATTGCACTTGAGAGACAAAAAAAAACTTGATATTATGAATAATTAAAAAAAAACAAATTCATCCTACCAATATGTTTTCAATGTAGGAGTATGATATATTTAGTTGTTTTTATCGATCAGAAAGGAAAACAGGTCGTAGCACCAATGTTTTAGCTCTGATTTATCGATCATTACCAGCAACATAGCGATGACATTCCTTAACGATATTTCTAAAATATTGTATACCATTTTAAAAGATATCTGGTGTTCGATAAACAATTTTTATTGAATCTTATACAACATCATATTTAAATGGCTTCTTTCTGCTATGAATCTTTGATTATTTATACTTTTATTATGTTTTCATATAAGAATTGTTACATGAATTACGTTCATAAGGGTTTTAGTATGCCCTTTAACCCCTTATCAAACGGGTTATTATTACATCAAAATCTAAAAGTTAGATGCATACACAATTTGACTATTTAAAGTCGTTTTCGCTAGTGAAACTTATGCTTATTGGATATATATTAAAAAAACAAAAAATTTAAANTGTTTGATAAATAACTTTTATTGAGTCTTATACAACATCACATTTAAATGGCTTCTCTCTGTTATGAATCTTTCATTATTTATACTTTTATTATGTTTTCATATAAGAATTGTTACATGAATTACGTTCATAAGGGTTTTAGTATGCCCTTTAACCCCTTATCAAACGGGTTATTATTACATCAAAATCTAAAAGTTAGATGCATACACAATTTGACTATTTAAAGTCGTTTTCGCTAGTGAAACTATGGTTATTGGATATATATTAAAAAACCAAAAAATTTAAATTTTACACAAGTTACATTCATGAGGTTTTTTTTCTGTATATGTCTAAAGTCTATTCTTTACGGTTTAGGTTTGTTCTTTTTAATACAAAAGTAAAAAGTTTTCAATTTCCTCGGGTGTTATTGCACTTGAGAGACAAAAAAAAACTTGATATTATGAATAATTAAAAAAAAAACAAATTCATCCTACCAATATCTTTTCAATGTAGGAGTATGATATATTTAGTTGTTTTTATCGATCAGAAAGGAAAACAGGTCGTAGCACCAATGTTTTAGCTCTGATTTATCGATCATTACCAGCAACATAGCGATGACATTCCTTAACGATATTTCTAAAATATTGTATACCATTTTAAAAGATATCTGGTGTTCGATAAACAATTTTTATTGAATCTTATACAACATCATATTTAAATGGCTTTTTTCTGCTATGAATCTTTCATAAATTATACTTTTATTATGTTTTCATATAAGTATTGTTACATGAATTACGTTCATAAGGATTTTTTAGTATGCCCTTAAACCCTTTATCAAACGGGTTAATATTACTTCAAAATCTAAAAGTTAGATGCACACACTTTTTGACTATTTAAAGTCGTTTTCGCTAGTGAAACTTATGCTTATTGGATATCTATTAAAAAAACAAAAAATTTAAATTTTACACAAGTTACATTCATGAGGTTTTTTTTCTGTATATGTCTAAAGTCTATTCTTTACGGTTTAGGTTTGTTCTTTTTAATACAAAAGTAAAAAGTTTTCAATTTCCTCGGGTGTTATTGCACTTGAGAGACAAAAAAAAACTTGATATTATGAATAATTAAAAAAAAACAAATTCATCCTACCAATATGTTTTCAATGTAGGAGTATGATATATTTAGTTGTTTTTATCGATCAGAAAGGAAAACAGGTCGTAGCACCAATGTTTTAGCTCTGATTTATCGATCATTACCAGCAACATAGCGATGACATTCCTTAACGATATTTCTAAAATATTGTATACCATTTTAAAAGATATCTGGTGTTCGATAAACAATTCTTATTGAATCTTAAACAACATTACATTTAAATGGCTTCTCTCTGCTATGAATCTTTGATTATTTTTACTCTTAGTAAGATTTCATATAAGTATTGTTACACGCATTACGTTCATAAGGAATTTTGTAGTATGGCTTTTAACCCCTTATCAAACGGGTTTATTTTTACTTCAAAATCTAAAAGTTAGATGCATACACAATTTGACTATTTAAAGTCGTTTTCGCTAGTGAAACTTCTGCTTATTGGATATATATTAAAAAACCAAAAAATTTAAATTTTACACAAGTTACATTCATGAGGTTTTTTTTCTGTATATGTCTAAAGTCTATTCTTTACGGTTTAGGTTTGTTCTTTTTAAAACAAAAGCAAAAAGTTTTCAATTTCCTCCGGTGTTATTGCACTTGAGAGAAAAAAAAAACTTGATATTATGAATAATTAAAAAAAAACAAATTCATCCTACCGATATTTTTTCAATGTAGGAGGACGATACTTTTAGTTGTTATTATCGATCAGAAAGGAAAACAGGTCGTAGCACCAATGTTTTAGCTCTGATTTATCGATCATTACCAGCAACATA